TGCATGTGTGCACTTTCTATGTGATTCATATCCTGTGGGTGCCACGTAGACCTTGCGACGCGAGGACTCCAGAGAGTAATCACTGGCGCGTGCCGTCACTTTGACGGTGCTTTGATCTTTCGTGGAAATTTACATGCGCTACTTCGTCGGTACGGTAAGTTTTGACGATGAGATCCAAACAAACAAACACAAGGCGCAGTAGCCCTTGGCCCCTCTGAGACGGCTTTTTTTTTCTCTTTTTTTCACGCACAACAGAGATGCCTTTTTTTTCTCTCGGCCGGATGGATATCACTCCTCTACGGGACAACGCTTCTTGAACCCCACACCTGGCGTAAATTCTCCATCTTCCGTACGTACTGTACTACGAATTGTACGAAGAATTGACCTCACCGCGATTTTCCCAAGCTAGCGCGGCTGCTCCTCTCAGCTTCGCGAAAAGCCCTGGGCATTGCTAGCTCCGTCCGGGGAAATGCAGCTGTGCTTTGATTGTTACAATTGCTCGTCAGATGTAGAAATCCTGCCTGTGACAGTTCGACTGAGTGGACTCAAAAAGGACGAACCCTGGTACCGCATGTTCCACATGCAAACTGGCAACCGACTCTAGCCTTTTTCGAACAGCATCCTATTGTTTGCGACATAAAGGCCCAAGCAACCTTGCATGCACTGACTAGCTATGGGAACAGATACCAGGACATTGCAAAATAAAGGCTCCCATAAGACGATCGGGAATTGCAACAAACGCATCAGCTCATCGGTATGGGACTCTTCTTCCCTCTAGGCACCTCAAAAGCTTATTGAAGATAGGTAAAAGCAACATTTGGACTCGCTCAGAGCTACATCTAAAATACGACGGACTCATCGACGCTCAAGTATTTCCCTCACTTCCATGCCACCTCGCGACTGCAGTAGGCCTCGTCCAGTCCGACAATGTACCTCGCTCGTCGTCACAATGCCAACTTTCTGGCCTGGACATCAGGCTCGGGCGACCTCAGATTGCCCGACGCTGTACAAACCAAGGCTCAGCTGAGTGACTTCATCGAAGCGTACTTCAAGTTGCGCTTGCCGGACTCTTACTACGTGCAGATCTACATCCATACCGCCGGCCTTAATCTCATCATGATCGTGGGCTTCCTCACAATATTCAAGCGCGTTCGAGAAGGAAAATTCAGTCTCTTTCGTGTGCTTGCCTCGACGGATGGGGCTACGGTCATCGTTCCCCACAGCACCAACTGCCTGCTGGTGAGTTCATGCGAGTCCTGAAATGGGCCCAGCTGTCCAGAGCTAAGCGACTACGCGTGCTTGCTCTCCAATCCCTAGTTCTTCGACTTCTTCTTCGGCGCTATCTGGATTGCCTTCGAGTGGATTGCCGTCTCCATCTTCCATAGTCATATCAGCGCATTCATGCTTGGCTACTGGCTCCTTTATCCTTGGCTCCTCGTATGGTTTGCAGCTTGGCTGTCCGTCTGGGGCATGTTCCATTCGATTCCCAGCCTGCCCTGGCGACAACAGCAGCGAAGTGTTAGCGGACTTTCACTTTATTGGCGATGTTTGGCTGCAAGGGCGAGCAATGCTTTCTTGGTAATGGTGCCCGTAGCGGTCTTGGCGTGTACGATTGCCTTTTCGATTCAGTTTGGCCGTCATTACGAGACCAGCGACGAGCTTCGACAAGCTTTGCAATTTGCCTTGACCACTTCGAACGGCACGAATCTGGCTGGCCCGGAGGAGAAGGCTGCCACCATCGAGGTCTGGGAAAATTTCAAGCTGGCTTGGTGGTGGGGGACTGTCGGCTTCTGCGAGTGGACCGCGATCGCCTGGCTCACCACTTTGTTCCAATTCATTGTGGGAGTCGTGTTGGCCTATGAGCTCATCGTCCGCATGCGCCGGCTCGACAATCAGGAGAACGACGACGACTTGATCTTCTCTGTACCTCTCACGGAGCCTTTCCCGGTCGAGGTGGACGACGAAGAGGACAATCTGGATCTCGCTGCGCGTCTCAGCGTACCTCCGCCAGCGGAGCTCGGCGACAAACAGCGCGAATCTTCTTCGACAGATGTCTCTGCACCTAAAGATGGCGAGGGACAAACTCCTGACCCAAACCTTTGCTCGACGACCACGTCGCCCAGCCTGAGAATGCCCGTTGATAGACTCGGGCGTCACCGGCGTGTTCAGTCCTCGGTTGTCAAGCGGGTGCGCAATCGCGAGCTGCAGCGCGGGTTGATCAACCTGCTCTTCCTTCTCGGTTGCCTCATCTCGGCGCTCACTGCGTACTCGATCATCGTCACCGGCATCACTGCAGTGGCCCTCAACGTGATCAGCAAAAGTCCTGAGGCTTTTGCCTCGGCTTTCTATCACTATAATCTTGCCACGGGCTGGCTTAACATCTTGTGTGGCGGTGGCATCTTCCTCGTCTGCTTCCTTCAGTCATACGAGAATTTTTTGTCCACATTCCATTCTCTGATCACCATCGCGGCAAAAAGTGGAGGCGAGCAGAACGCGGCTTTAAGAGGCCAGTACGACAACCAACTCCAGGACGGGCGATCCAGCAGCCTACTGGCTGTGCCGCCGACTCATCAAGGCTACGCGCGCAGAGCGATCGATGGTGCGGTCGATGAGCAAGAGAATACCCTGAGAGTCGCGGACGACGACTTTGCGAGGCGCCGCTTCTCCAGCCGCATTCGACTCGTGCCTCGATCAAAAGGTCGACGAGGACCAGCCAATTCAATTCAGACCCAGATGTCGTCTTTTTTTGAGTCCGAAACCGTTTTCGAGTCCCAGCCTGGAGTGGCAATGCGACCAAAACCGAAGCATGGACCACTTTGCTAATATCATGAACTGCTCTACTGGTATCTTCATCGGATATGGCAATGCATCTTCCTCGACTATCATGCCGCATCCATCCATTGCGGCAACTCTCAATTTCTTTAGTATTTCTCTACTACCACATTTCAAAGAAGAAAATTGTGGCAAGAAGATCAAAGCAAACAAGCATTTCCACTTGTGAATCTAAAGACAGCCGGAGCCAATAAAGCCAAAAAGCACTCATTTCCCTTGTTTGCGCAGTCGAGAGCACGAATGAGTGTGGCACAGGCAAATGTGAGCCAACCGAGACGACCTACAGTCACTTTAGGTGCCGGAAGGCTTAGAGAGGATGATGGTGGTAATCTGTTGATTGCTTCGGTCCGCACTTTCCCTTCATCGTACCGTCTTTAGCAGCCGATATAGTGCCAGTCTGTTCGATGTTGTCGAGGGACACCTAGTCAGGAGTTGAAAAAAAGCGAGCTTCTCTAGCCGAAAGGGCTTAAAGTAGCAAAAAGCCGAGAGTAGAGCGGGTGACGAGCGAGCAGCGAGTGGATGGCGTGGATGGGTGCTGGAATGAGCTCGGTCGAGGGCTGTCAACCTCGTCCTCTAGCCAACATGTGCCGAGCTCAGTGGAAGGCATCGAGTCAGAGTGGTCCAGGTTAAGTGAGGAGCAATCAAAGAGGCTCTTTGACGTGAAAGTACAAGACTATGAGCTAAGTACAGCACAAGATGCGAGAATGTGGGCGAAGACGAGGCACAGGAAGACTCTGAAGACGACGGCGGGGTCAGAGATCTGTCGCGGGCTTCGCCGTGCACAAACAATGCCATACGTTTTCTCTCACGCCATATGGGCGTTCCTCTGGAGAAGGAGCTCTCATCTCTCTTTAGTGCTCTCCTGCAGGGATCCTGGACAAAAAGTAAATGCGTCAGATCGTTTGCCCGTTTCGGAATCGGTATCTGATACAGAGAGAACCACAGGGTTGAAGGCTGCGATGCCTTCTGACTCAATCTTTCTCAAATAAAAGGAGAGGTTCGATGGTGCCAAATGATCCTGTGGACCTCAAAGGTCTAGGCTATGTCTGCGAGAGTTGCGTCATTAAATTGTACCTTCAGGCTTGTCGTCGCACTGGCCTCGCCCTCCTCGATCGGGTATAAGACTGATTATCCAACGGAGGAAGAAAACAAGAAACACAGTCGAGATTAGGTGCGATCCGCCTTCAATCGAAGATCGAGCAAGCAAGAGCGGTTGTTATCCATAGGGCTCTCGGTCGAGTAAAGGTGAAGGGACAAATGCTGCTGCGCTAGTATTCCAATTGATATGTTTCAGCACCTATATTTAAGCCAATTAGAACGCTACAATATTCTACCAACTTTGCAAACAAGGCCGAACACCAAATTTGTCCATTGCGAAAGAGCAACTTGATATCTGACAGATCCAATTGTAAGAGAAACTCGGTCCTCAAGAACTTCCTTTCTCGATCCCAACCCGCATGTATCAGAATTTTCTATCTTCTAGCCCATTCATATCCGTTGCCCCCGCGTAGAATGCGAGGTGTGAACACACTTGCACGCTGACGCAACGGACACGATATCAGTCTTACTCTTTCCGGAAAATTCGGCGGCATGAAAGGAAAAGACGTCACCATATGTTCAACCCCAAGCATGGCTGCTTCCTTTCATTGGCTGAAAGTTGCTTCAATCTTGTGTACCCTTTCGCCTTGAAGAAAGCTTGCCCGTGACAAAGCTGTCGCTTTGTAGCACCCTCAACAAGCAGGTAAATTTCCATGAAAACAAATCACGGCGGAAAAGGACAAAAGAGACAGAGATCGTTCGGTGACGTCGCCAATGCTGTTGGCCAAGGCTTTAACGACCATCAAATTTGGCGAAGATAAGGGACGAGTGGCTTTTTCACCGTACCGAGGTTTCGCTACATATATAGAGAAGCAGAGTTAGAGGAGTGTGAGAGCTTAGCTAGCATTAGGCCGACATTCACCGTACTGGAAGGTATGTCGAAAAGAGGTGACAGAAGCGCAGACCTGAAACTCTTGTGACGGCGAACGCGATTATTAAGGGGCAGTTGTCAAGCGATCGCAAGACAGCTACTCCCGAGCCATCTAGCTCTGAGGCAAATTACCGGTAAATCAGAAGAAGCGAGATGTCGGACAGGTGTTAGAACTCAAGAAAGGTTCGAGAATATGACAATGGTGAACGTAACGGCGCAGGACGAAGGAAACACATCAGTAGTAGCGAGCGAGACATTGACCGATAAAGAGACCGACAAAGTGCTGGCGAGGAGACAAGACAAGATTGGGAACGATTCAGACGAATCAGTACATTCTCCTCGCTCCTGGCCTCAACCTACAAGCTCTATATCCGTGCAAGAACTTTCTGATAGCGAAAGTGCGGTGTCAACGCTTTCATCTGCTGTCAGCTCTTTTACGGGCTCCCACTCACGCATGCAATCTTCGTCTGCGTCAGACAATTCGCAACGTTCTTCAGTCTTTCACAGCACTCACTCTCGCATTTCTGCTCCAGGTCTTGATACCTCTGCTCCTTTGGCGGGCCCATCCGCGGTTGCGAATGTTGTCTCTTCTTCAAACCTCGCTTTCAGATCTTTTCAAGACCCTGCAAAGTTGCGATCTTTGCGAGACCAGGAAGTCCGAGACAGCGGCAGTCACGAAAGCGCCACGAGTTGTAGGGACTCTCCGGCTCCCGTCGATTTCTCGTCCTCGGGGAACCTGTATGACTCCTCTACTGCAATCATTGCGGACAGAAGGGATGAGGTAACGAAGCGATGTTCTTCTGTAGACAAGTCTAAGACGATCAGCGCAGAAGGTTTGAACGACTCCCACCAGGACTTGCTCGAGCGCGAAATCGACAACGAAGATCTGAGAGCGACGCGGATAAGGGTCAAGGACGTCGTCTCGCCAAGCTTGCCGCGCTTCGGCAGAAAAGGAGGCGATGAAGCGAGGGGCAGCAAGAGTGTCTTCGAATGCGAGAGCCATGGAACCAAAAGGGGGGAAGAGGCCGGAAAGATGAGGGGAAAAGGCAAAATCGCAGAAACCCTGTCAAGGACGAAAGCTTTGCACAGGAAGGGCAGGAAGAGCTTCGGAACTTTCAATGATTTTCGCGCAGCTCAGACGCTGGCGGCCGAGGAGGACAAGATCGAGTCTCAATGCCATTCTGAAATGCGCCCTAGCCATCTGAAAACGCCCCCTTCTTCTTCTTCAATAGAGATTGAGGAAGCAGCAGCGACCTCTCCAAGGTCTGCTTCGCGAGAGGCAATTATCAGTACTGCTACGACGAGCATGCACTCTCGAGCATCGCCGCCGCCGCTGCTCTGCCGCGAGACAGATGGTGAAAGTTCTCAAGATCAGACACCCCCGTCTCATGTCATTGATACGATAAGCGAGACTCTTTCCGGGTGCGTCAACGAAGGGTTCCATGAGATAGCGAAGAGGCCCGCTGCGACAATACCATTGACAAGCATCGACGGCAACATCACGAGAACGACCGCGGTAAAAAAGTATACTCGAGAGGCCAACATCCTTCATCCGCCTCGCTTCGATGCGAAATTGAGTTCTGCACCAACAAATTTGGATCAAAGAGCGGTGTCGGCCGGCATAGAGCGCAAAAGCCAGTCCTGGTCGCCCAGCAACATCATGTTATCATCAACAAAAGGAACGGCTCCAATCTTGCAATTACCTGTCGAATCAAGGGCTGTCGAACCAAGGCCTGTCGACCCATGGGCAAAGCAAAACACAAGGAGCGAAAGGATGCCGTCTGACATTAGCACCGCGAAGCTGTCATCCTCATATGATGACGTTTCGATTGAGCCGAGGACTATTCAGAAACCTAGCCAAAATATGATGACGACAACAATCGATGCGCCATCTGTCGGTCGCTCAGGTGGCCGCTCTTTTACCCGCATACTGAAGAGTTTACGAAGAGTTCGAGCAAAGGGCTGTAGCCAGATTCCAAAGGCATCAGCGCATTCCACAATCCGGAACAGCGCACAGAAAGGGCTCGCTCGACAATCAATGCCGAAAGATGTTGTCGCGAGATTGTCTTTTTGCGTCGAGCAAAGACGAAGCCGAATAGAGGATGACACATCGGCACTTACTCTGCTCGATCGCGGTAGTCAGCTGCGAGTGCGTCGCGCATCCTCGTTTGCAGGACTTAAGCAAGAATCTCCATCCTCTCGGCCGCATCAGGACGTCGGCAAATCGTCAAGCGTCACAGGTTGCGCTATTACTTCCCAAAGCTTGAAACTCGAAAGTCGAAAAATCCAGAACATCACAACATTCGCTTCCGAACACGACGATTCTAATTCTGCCGGCAACATCTGCACTATCAAGCCACATATACCAGTAAGACCAGAGAGTAGCAGTTCGGTGACTTGCAAAAGGGCTTGGATTGATCTTATTCTTCGACGAGGGCGAGGGCGACCTGTGCAGACAACTTTTGCTCTGGACTGTGATCGCTCGCCGATTATCTCACCCAATCATGCGAAGTCCTCGCTCTCTTCGGCATCTACTAAGCCCTGGAAATGGTGCACAAGTCGTTACGGGACGAAGCTGGCCAGGCAACAAAGGCGCTCGGTGCCATCGTCGTCGCCGTATCCTCAGCATGTCTCTCAGTATCCATTCAACTTACCGACAGATCTACGCCGGGATGACGAAGATGTGAAGACGATCACATTCCACTCACCAGCTAATGAATTGCCTCGAATGATGCTGAAAGCGAACTCCAAGCTACTTACTCAGGCGCACACTTTGAATCCTATTACGACAAATGGGGCCTCTGCTCCCAACAACTTTGCAACACCATGTTCCCTCCTATCATCGAGCCGTCAAACGGCATACGATATTCGAAACGACTGTGACGCAAGCAGGTCGAACCTCGGTATGCAAAGAAAAGGCAGGTATATCAGCAACTGTACAAATTCAGGAACGAGCGACCTGATATCTCACCCCACGTGTGCTGCGCCCCCAGTGGAGGAAGATCGATCCAGCAGTATGACAGCGGACTTTTCGAGGCTTTCACAACTCGATCCGAAATCGAACGTGGTTGTGAGCGAACCGACCAGCGGTCATCCACAAATGAGTCCAGCTTCGGCAGAGCTGAAAGCTTTCGCAAAGATGCTTGACGCAGCGGCAAAGGCTGACGCAGCTCGGATCGAAAACATTGTCCGAAGAATTCGCCTACATACGCCACCTTCAGAAATAAGAAGTTAACGTGTGAGACCCTAGTAAGTCTGGATTCCCCTTCACCTGACATGCGTCTGACCCACAAGGGATTTCTTTTAAAAATTCAACCGTATATTCAGCCTTTGCCCAATACGAGACTGTGGCCGAAAGTTTATTCAGCGATCGGCCCTGACAGTACACACGCGCGTTCACACTGGCGAGAGGCCTTACGTATGCGATACATGCTTCAAGGCCTTGTGAGTACACAAGCACCCATTGTCCTGCCGTGAGCCCCGAAGCTGATCAACTCCGGGGAAAATTTACAGCTCCGACTCAAGCTCGTCGGCTCGCCACCGACGTATCCACTTGGGACGTCGACCTTACCGCTGTGATGTTGAAGTAGGCACAAGTGAGGGTGGACTACCTCGCTGCCGCTGACCAGAGGTGCTTTTGCAGGGCTGTGGAAAGAGCTACTGTCGTAAGGCAACATTAAGAAAACACATTCGCCGCGACCATGCAAGCCTGGAGCAGAGCAGCCAGGGCCAAGAAAAAAAAGGCACAGTGGGTCCCGGTATCGTGGCAGTCGGCAGCAGCCTTGACAAGTCCCCGTTTTCATGTGCATCTCAATTGGGCACGCCAAAGAGCCACTTGAGTGCGCCATTATCTATAAGCAACAGCTTCAGAGGTTTCGGCCCCGGCGCTGGCGCCTCACACGATCCTCGCGCAGGGTCGCTTCATTATCAAGGCCGCGCCGAGACCAAGGACAATGTGATCGAGGGTCCTCGGGAAAGCACAGCCATATCGACGCGCACCAGCACCGGCGATTGCATCTCGTCGGACACGATGACGCATCCTCAGACCTGGCCGGAGAAGCCGCCGCTGACACCAGTGTACCTACACCAAAGCTTCGCGCAGCTCGACTGTTACCATCCTAGCTGTTTCGATGATTCGCCGCCGCCTCTGTCTGCTTCTTCCGGCGAGCGCTGTAGTCCGAAGAGGACGCCTCGAACTGGAGCTTCAGATCGCTCTTGTCGGCAACCAGACCAGCGCTATTATCATGCGCACATGCAGCGCTATACCTATGAGCAAGGATACCAGAGTCTGCCCTTCGTTGACGGGCAGAACCCCGTTGTGTCGAACGAAGTGGTCTCGATTGACACTCCGGCGATAGCTCCTCGTGAGCTTCAAACATCTGTCAAAGAAGCTTGCGTCGCAAGCAGTCAAAATGGCCTTCCGACATGGCAGAAGAAGTTGGCACAGAATATAAGCCAACTCAAGGCGAGAAAGCCAATGTCGGGAGCGTTGCAGACAGGAAGCGGAGGGTTTTGCTTTAAAATTGGTATGTGAGAGTATGTACTGTAACCTTGGCTGGAACGCGCATTCGACGTTGCGGCACATATTTATCTACATTTACGTTCTGCCTGTTGAGAATTCCTTCTTCTGCGATTCTCTCCAAGAACAGTAGTGGTACACTAAAGTTTTGTCGGTCGGGTGAAGAAGATCTGTGGGAGCAACAGCTTGCAACGAGTCTATTCCGAGATTTTGCCTGCCTCCCATTTAGTGAGGTGACACCTTCAGCCTCCTCCCTTTCGGCAGCTTCTCTTCATGCCAATGTCAATGCGAGTTTACGCTATCCGATGTCTCTCGTCTTACCAAGAGATCGGCAGTTGGCGAAGGCTAGTGCGTATGCACCCTCTCCCTCCTAATTCAAGACCATCCTCACCACAAAGCCCATTCAAGACTCATGAGTCTACGTACCACTGCCTCTGACCTGGGACGGACTCTTCCAATGAGCCAGTCTTAGTGACTGCAAGCTCCGCCGACCCACCAAAAAGAGCAGCTGCCTTTCGCATTGCAAGGCTCGCAAGCTTCGCTGCGGTGAATGCCACCCATGTCGGCAATGTCAAAGGAGAAACACGACGGCGCCTGCACATAGTGAAGGCCGGCAATCAAATCGACATGTCGATCGAAGGAAGAGGAGCTGTACTTCAGTGGTCGATGCTAGCCTTGTGTATGTGAATCGTAAATCTGGTTGATGGACGATTTTAAATGACGCAGTTTATTTTGAGGCCTGAGCGGCGACATATGGTAAAGATGCCGAGACACTTGATAGACTGACGAGCTTGTGTTGGGGCGACATTTTCTGAGTCGCAACTGATGAATTCTATCCGTCTACGTACGAGCGTTCCTCTGCGAGGGAGGGAAGAGATGCGGGCGACTTGGCGGCATATTTCAACGAACCTCTCGACGATGAATCATCTTCCTGACTTCTTCTGCTCGTTCAATCGCAATCTGTTCCCTACGTACGTAAAAGTGATCCAATCGCTTTGATTGATAACAAAAGAGGGAAGGCGACATTATTTTCGGACCAGCTAGATGCCCCACAAAGTCGGCGAGGACAGAAGGGAGAGCAGCTAGACAGACCTACTGCTATGTCTCCTTGCCTCGAAGAGTGCTACCGTCTCGTCAATCTGTTGATGCTGAAGTTCAATTCATTAGGTCGGACATTCACTTGGAGCGCTCGCTACAGACTCACCAAGAGCCGACGCTGCGCGGTCATTTCAGGGCTTGAGGCAGAGGTGATGCCAAGTTGGAAGAAGGCGGGCAAATCCTGGATGTAGGACCTGATTCTGACCACGGCCCTTCTACGATTTTCCTCAGAAAGACCCCTGAATGAAGGAAGCGAAGGTCTAATTACGCTGTCGACTCTTTCGACAATATTCTCATCGACTGCTTCACATCTGCTCGCCGACTTTGCCTGCTTGTTGCGCATAGCTACGGCATCTCTTACGCATTCGGTCAACTGAAAATGAGCAATCACGTATGAAGCCTCTGTCCATGTGTTGCGTGGTTGCTCTCGGATGATGTCTGACTTCAGGTGCTCATCACTGGCGTTCAGCGGCATGCGCGTTGTCGTCTGTAAAGGATGAATTCTATAGGTGAGACCATTTGTACCGGCCAACGACCAATCCTTGGCGCAGAGATAGGACCAGATCCGAACTCCTATTTCGAGAGATACGCAGTCGGAGGCTCGAACATCCTGAGCCGGTTGAACCTTGCCTAGCCGATGCAGACCAAGACCTTGTGCGCTAGAGATCGCTTCGTTTAGCAAGAATCTATACCACGCAAGCGTACCTCTCCCTTGGGATAGAATTAGACATGCCGCTTGCAATGCCTCCAAGGTACGAAATTTCCACAATTGTCCGACCTGAAGATAGCGAATTGTCTCTGCGTACCAACATGCTGTGAGTTAAATGCCGTTTCCATTCAGCGCTTGGGTTGCTCTGCCTGTGGACGTACAGCAAAGACGACCAAGATAATTGCTTGGATGATGTTTGGCACCAAAACACAATATGAGAAGAAAGGTCGCCAACGTGCAGGCGTCGATTGACTGATTATTGCCTAAAAGTACCATCTCGTCCTCGCTCAAAGCTTGACAAAGCCTGCTCAAGGCTGGTCCAAAAATCATGTGGCTGGCCTTGTGATTGACGTAACGAAGAAAGGTGGCGCAGAGCTCTCGAATGATGGTCTTGTTCGTCGTATTGTCATCATAAACTCTGATGAAAGCAAAGAATTCCGAGAATATGAGGAGGGTAGCATCTTTATTGATAATTTGTGCTGGTCTTGTCGATGAATTTTGACCGTCGTCCGTGGCTGAGTAGCTAGATATTGTTGTCCATCTGTATTCAGGTACGACAACAGAGGTACTAAGAGCGTCAAAGCCCTTCTTCGATCGAGCTGACGGAGACGACATATCTGCTGCTTTCAAGTTTTCTTCTTCACGATAAGTCGATCTCGATAACGCGGACGATGTTGCTACCTGCTGGTCGCATGCAGAGCGGGAACGTGGGCTTCTAGCTTCAAGCTCAGCAATCCTCTTCTTCATCAAGCAATCCATCTGTCTGATGATATCTTTTCTCTTCCTGTGCGAGACAATCGAGTGTCACACTCATCCTAGGTGGCATCTTCAAGGCCTTCGTACTGATCGACTTTTTTGTCCTCGGTCTCTGCGACTTCATTATGTCGCGTTGGCAGCTTTGTTCCAGCCCACGAGCTTTGCAATTTGAACAAGAGGGTGAACCACCGAGAAAATGGCACCTCATTTTCTTTTTTCGGCACCTCGAGCAGCTGGCCTTAAATTCCAGATGCAGAGGTTCGAGATGCTGCTCTTGCGAGTCCTTACCGATGATAGATGATCTCCCCTCCAAAGCTCTCGATGGATAAGGTGCGTTGGAAGTTTGCTTGACGCCATTTCAGGGATGGTTGATGCTCGAGGCACAGGTTTTCGTGTCGGTGGATGACCGTCAACTTACAATCGAGTAAATAAAAGGACGCTAACAGAAAGGGATGATAGTAGAAGAAATTGAATTCTCTCGAACGCGGGGCTTTAAATGATGCTACTACACCCGGCACTCCTTCATCTTTCTAGTTTTTTGGTTTTTTTTTCTCGTCTCATGCCTTACAGATTCTTCGAGCAATTGATACGATCAGATCTGAGGAGAGCGCAAGGTCAAGCGCAGACGACAGCAGAAAACTCGATTGACGGTTTGGATGAGGCCAAAAACTCGAAATTGATGAGCTCATTCGACTACTATAATGCAAGGAGCATAACCCTTAAACAGTGGGAACAATGGAAATAATGGAAACAATGGGAACAATGGGATCAATGGGAACAATGGGAACAATGGAAAGAATAGGAACAGTGGGAACAATGGAAACAATGGAAACAATGGAAACAATGGAAACAATGGAAACAATG